GACGCTACCAGTGTACGGTATGGGCGGTACTCAGTCTAGTGATACTGTATGTAAGTCTATGTAAGTATAAAAACAGGGAGAGGAAAGCAATGGCAGTCAACAGCAAAGACAAAAACAAAACAGTGATTATTTATTTTAATGTTACAATGTCACAAAATACTAGTCCTAATGAAATATAGTACAGTAAATGTTACTGTCTACCTTTCTTCTTTACTGTCTTTATTATTGCCGATTTGTAGGTTTTACATCTGGAGCTGTTGCCTCCACACACGCCYCACTTGTCCTCCTGCTTTAAGGAGCCAAACACGCCATCACAGCCCATTTTCTGTGAACGCAGACATGGTTAGCTCCACACAATTAGACCCGGACACAGCTGCGTAGCATTGATGRACTAAAGTGACGTCGCTCACCTTGCACTCCCCCTGCACGCACACACTGTGCGGGTCCTTGTATGAGCAGCGTGTACCGTCCAGGACCATTTTCTCAATGAGGCTCACAACTCTTGTCTCCTTAGACTGGCAATAAAGGCGGCAACGTTCCTTAGCTGAGAAGCAAACACAAAAGTGTGTCCCAACATTAGTAACAACAGGGCAAGTCATCAGGATGGTTCCATTTTTACAACGTGTGATTATTTTTATGCTCTGTGTGAGTCAGCTCAATACGGTGTCTCATTGTGTTTGTCTGCCTGAGTCATGCTAATACTACACAAGCCCCAAGAGACAAAACCTGGCAGAATCCCAGTGAGAATCAACACTCCTGCTTCATCACACAGATGGCCACAATCCAGGGACCTTGTCTTTCAGAGTTTTGACACTAAAACACGTGGCAGACATGCTACAAATATTTTACAATCATTTACAACYTGATGGGAATCACATTATCAAGTTAAAACAAGGATCTGCAACAGTGTGCAAATTTATTTTTCAGGCAGCCGAATGAAGCCTTTTCTGCCGTGCAGTCACAAGAAGTGAGGCCGAAGTTGTGCATACGTATGCTCATTAACATGAGCAAGTTTTCAGTTTTAGTTTCCAGAATCCTTTAGCTCAGTTTACCAAAAAGGCTTGGCTATTATGGCTCTCAAATGGGTCTTTACCAGTACTGCTTGGAGCTTATTCTGTTTTTTTTTTCAGGGTCATGATTATTTGGCTCAGCTTTGACTGTTTTTTTCTTTTTTAGCTCCTCATACAGCTCCTCACCACTAAGTGAAAAACCATTTGAGAGCTGATGGCTATTTATGGTGAGATGAGCCAATGATTGGGGTTCCCTGAAAGAGAGCGTAATGTAAATCACTAATTCGATGAATGCAGGAGAGAAGAGGAAGATTCAGGAACAAAATGTAAACTTTTTGAAACTCAAAAAGGAAGGAATTCGGGCCAGCTTATCAAGGCTTTGACATGAACAAAACAGGAATAAACAAGAACCAACAGGTTTTAACTAGAGTCATCAAGAGAATCTGATAAAGAATGGGAAAAAATAAGTATGTTAACAGGAAGTGGTAATTAGTGAGTGACCACAGGTGTACTAATTACTAATGGAATACATGTGGTATGTCAGGTCATAAATAAGAACAGCTAATATGACAATGAAGTACTGAACATAAATCAGTTGAATAGACAGACCTGCTTAAACTCATGATAAAATAAAGAAACCCAAACAATMATCAAGACAAAATAAATCAATAATCAACAGAAAGACTCAAAACAAGATATCCAGAATGTTTATAAAGAGACACATTGTGTTTTTGAATCCTTATTTTTCACATTTAAATTATTCAGTTGAGATCTACTGTATATAAAGTGGAACTGCAATGCTTTGGTCTGAATTCCTGCTTATTTTAACCCCACAAACCCCTCCTATGCCCAGTTTTGAAATGTGTCTCACATCAACTCGTTTTGAGACTGTCTCCTTAAATGTGACTTAGATGCTCCCCCCCCGGTCGATTTTAGTTTGACATAGAGGTATGACTATAGCAGTGCATTAATGTTGTATTTACAAATMAATTAAAAGATGTCAACAACAGAAGAGTTGTCCATCGAGCCTTACATGTTGGAGACAGAGTCTAACCCAGAGCCAGAGGAGAATGAAGATTACCAAATTATAATTGGTAAGTTCTGATCTTAGTTAGAAGTTCTGTTGCTAATACTGATGTAACAGTTCAGATAACATCATAACATCACAGAAAATAGAGAAAACTGAACGGGTTGAAAGATATAACCCAAACAAAATACTGTATAAGGATATCTACATTTCTCCAGGAGAGATTAAATTCAACTTTTCTGCACTATTAATGGCAAAAAAATTGGATTTTGCACGATATGTTCCCTTTAAAATGCTCAACAGATATGAGGGTGTTAATAAGGAACTGCTCTATAGATTTTATTTAAAATGTGAAAATAAATTAAAAAAAAAAATTAATAATGCTAAAATATCCATTAACCAACATCTAAACATTTTAAGAGTAAATAAACCAGATTTACCCAAAAAGCTAATTCTCTGTCCCTTTGCTGGATCTAAACAAGCATCTATAAAAGCTGCAGGTCACAAACCAAAGAATTACATGAGCTCCTCCGTCTGTTTTCTTCCACTTATCCAGGATAGGGTCGTGCGGGCAGCAGCTTAAGCAGAGAGACCCAGACCTCCCTCTCCCCAGCCACTTGGACTAGCTTGTCCGGAGGAATCCCAAGGCGTTCCCAGCCCAGCTGAGAAACATAGTCCCTCCAGCGTGTCCTGGGTCTTCCTCTGTGCCTCCTCCCAGTGGGACGTGCCCGGAACACCTCACCAGGGAGGRGTCCAGGAGGCATCCTAACCAGATGAACCACCTCAGCTGGTTCCTCTCGACATGGAGGAGCAGCGGCTCTACTCTGAGTCCCTCTCAGATGACTGAGACCCTATCTCTAAGGGAGAGCCCAGACACCCTGTGAAGGAGACTCATTTCGACCGCTTAGATCCGTGATCTCGTTCTTTCGGTCACTACCCAAAGTTCGATCATAGATGAGGGTAGGAACACAGACCGACTGGTAAACCAAGAGCTTTGTCTTCTGGCTCAGCTCCCGCTACACCAGACTGGTACAGCGCCCGCGTCACTACAGATGCAGCACCAATCTGCCTGTCGATCTCCCGCTCCATTCTTCCCTCATTCATGAACAAGACTCCGAGATACTTAAATTCCTCCACTTAGGGCAGGACCTCCTCCCTGACCCGGAGGCGGCACGCTACCATTTTCCGGCTCAAGACCATGGTCTCGTATTTGGACGCACTGATCCTCATCCAGGCCGATTCACTCTTGGCCGCGAACCGCTCCAGTGAGAGCTGGAGATCATGATCTGATGAAGCCAATAMGACCACATCATCCGCAAAATGCAGAGATGTGATCCAAAGGTCACCAAAAAGGATCCCCTCAACACCTTGGKTGCGCCTAGAAATTCTGTCCATAAAAGTTATGAACAGAATCGATGACAAAGGGCAACCTTGGCGGAGTCCAACTCTCACCGGAAACAAGTCCGACTTACTACCGGCAATGCGGARCAAGCTCTGGCACCGGTTTTACAGGGACATAACAGCCCGTATAAAAGGGCTTAGCATGGTACCCCATACTCCTGGAGTACCCRGCACAGGAGTCTTTGAGGGACACGGTCGAACACCTTTTCCAAGTCCACAAAACACATGTAGACTGGTTGAGTGAACTCCCATGCACCCTCCAAGACCCTGCTGAGGGTGTAGAGCTGCTATCTAGCTTTATGTCTCATATTTGATGTCTCCTTTCTCATGAGCAATTTTCACTTCCTGTTGACACAGGAAAAATCACAGATTGAGAAACAAAAATAACAATGATTTTACACAAATCTTTCAGATTCACATCTGGAGTTGACATTCTCACACTATGAGGATGACAGACACAAAAAGGAATTCAATTCCTCCTCCCTTTGTTTTTCTGTCACACACACTCAAACACATTCACACAGAAAAGTCCTTTCAGTTAGTGAAAGTTGCGCTTTAACAGGCAAAATTTGGAACAAACAGTACTAGGAAGTAAGCTCAAAACTGGATGAAAATTTAAAAAAGAAGCAAGAACCCCTTAAAAACATATCAACCTCATTTAAACATTTTTACACGTGTGCATTTTAAAATTACCTAATGCAAAAAAGTTTGCTTACTAGATAAAAACATTTTGGGTTTTGCCTCTAATGTGAATTAGATGGTCCTTACAAGCTATTAAATGCATGAATAGTAAAAAAAAAGAAAGGTGAACAGTTGTGAATGTTACTGAATTCCAAATGACATCAGCAAATGGGTAGAGAAGGAGACCTAATTTAAATTTAAAACCAGCTTTTCAAAATGTTTGAAAGACATTGTATTTATATGAGAGTGTAGCTAAACCTCAAAGCTGTAAAATGTGTTTGTGTTTCATTTTTGGCTTTCCTTGTATTGACAGTTCTAGTAGTGTGTCATCATGAGGCTCATCACTCTTGTTATGTTCTATTCCTACACCAAAGCACATTTCTGTCAGGGTGTGTACTCACGGTCTGGGTGTTCATAAGGCAGCCAGTGGTGTTTGTTGTTGTGGTCTGAAGTGTGGCACTGCTCCTCTCTTGGGTCACTGTAGATGTCCTCGCACTCATTGGTGTTGCACATCTGGTATTCAAACGATGACCCCCTGCAGGTCCAACCTCCATTGGCTGGACTGGGAATGTGGTGGGACAGAAGACAATGATTTATTTCTCTTATTCAGCTAAACAGTATTTTATTTTTTTTACATACACGTCCCCGGTGTCTTTTTTACATACACAACACAAGTCGAGACTATTTAACGTAATTGCTCAGGGGGCAACAGTTACTGAAAGCCAGCAGTTTGTGAGTCAGACATTTAGCAGTTTCATTACACTAAATGATTTCATAATTAAAATCTAGTTTTATTTTATATAAAAAGAAATCTTCTGTTCTTATACAAACAATCTTCCAGCAAATAATTGCATACCTAGGATTATCACACTCTCTTGTGCGAAACTGTAAACCCCCACCACAGGTCCGGGAACACTGGCCATACTCGCTCCATGAGCCCCAGTTTCCATCTTGCTTCATGAGGTCAGGAGTCAACCACATGCATTGACCTTTGAAGCAGTGCTGCAACAGAGCAACAAAACTCGTCAGTGGATCCAGCTAAATTTCCCCCCCAATGTGTTGTTTTGTTGTTGTTGTTGTTGTGCTGTATGAATACCTTTCCATCTCCACACATGGTTCCATCGATGGGTGGTCCCTTCTTGGTCTTGCAGAAGAATGGATTGTCTGGGTGGCTACACCACAGCTGCTTACATGGGTCAAACCCTCGGAACTGTGGGGCACATAGAGACTTCTCATGATCAATGTACGATGAGACAAGTGAGCCAGGATGAGACTAAACACTGAACCAAGGAGACAAAAGTCGAGTAGGGAAGAGAAATGACAACGGTAGCCAACCACAATAATATACCCAACAACAACAACTGAATCGGAACAGAGCCACTGCACTTGACACTATGCTTCACTGAGAAACACACAGCCACTCATGCAAACTTAACTAATGGATGATAACAAGAAACAAAACTCTCATAGTGTGGATGTTCATAGTTTGGGGGGGGGGGGGTATTATGCATTTTCCAGGTACATAGTATATACCATTATCAAGTATCTGTTACTTTCAGTTGTTGTGGAAACTCCTTAGGAGTGTTGTATTTTGTTGTAAAACAAAAAGCAACATTATATTATATAAGTTTTGGAAAATGGCAACTTAGAATAAATTTGAAAATTACTCGAATGATCCAACGTCGGATCTGAAACGTTCATTTTCTGAAGAACTGGCACAAATACAGAGGCTCTTAGAAGATGCTTCAGCTTAGTAATATATTTCCAAATAATCCTCTTGTACATATATTTCAACGTTAAGCTACTTTTTGTGAAGAAACTATAAATGTAGATCACTATGAAGTTATGTTTTACAGTGAAATCATGAACATCCACAATTTTTAAGATACTTTATGCAATAAAATCATAGTGATTTGTAAAGAAATAGTCTAGTCTGGTGGAGCTGTGTAGGGAAGGGGTACTCTGCGTGCGTGTGTGTGTGTGTGTGGGGCTCGACTGGGGACCGAGCACCTGGGAGGAGCTTTGGGGAAATAGGCGGTGCTTTGTACCATCACGTATTTAGGCACATCCGAATGGCTGCCACAGGAGATTCAAGGATTTCTCAACCATGAATGAACGAGTCAAAGCAACACTCTGGGTATGTATTATGATACAAATCTCAAAAATTTCGATTGTGCATAATATCCCCCATTTAATTACATCACTAAGGAAGTTAAAGGGCTAAGTGTTCAGTAAAGGTGAGGTGTCAGTGACCTGTAAAATGCCCCTGGATGCTATTGAGGAACCATAATATCCTAGTCTTTGTCTGATGTAAACCAAAGCTGATGATACCATCAAACTAACCTATATCTCAGTGATGATACTCTCTGTTCATTCATTCCGAAGACTTTACTACCTGTTGTGACACTTGTGGATCTTTCTAGGTCATAGTGACTTACAAACAGTGGCTAGGCCTGTGGTAGGTAATCCAGCTACAATACGTCAGACTGGAGGATCCTAAAAGCTGATGCAAAAACATGGAAAAATAGCCTCAGCTCTGGGTAAGTCTTTCCAGGCCTTTCTACTTGTTAATACTGATACATGTGCCAATACAATGAGACTCTTTCTGCCAGTACTGTAGAGATTTAAAACAGATTTGCAGGAAAGAGCTCTGGGTATGGTGCTAAGAAAGTCCTGGAGCACACTATAGGCACTACACAAACAAGGATTTCATAGCCACCTTTTCCCAAAGTACGAGCATTTTAGAATCCTGCAGACTTGCACGTAAATTATGACAATGGGAAGAACATAGATACAAAGAACAAGTGAAACAAAAAGGAGTAATTTTACAAACACAACTATAGAGAACAAATAGGACAACATAATCTGGCAAACAAAACGATGGGGGGGTGGGGTGTCACACGTCCTCCCAGAAGGTGGGTAACCTTACCTGCGGTCCTAATTGGCCCGCCTTTTGTAGCTGAGGGGATTGAGTTTGACAAGAGAATAGAGGGTAATCTAGCAATGCGTGCAAAGCCCCTGAACAGGTCCTTAATCAAACAAGCAACAGCTTTGCAACAGTGTGCCACAGTGGCTTCACAGTCACAGAGAAAACTCGTTGAATGATAGAAAAAAAAGATGCTGCAGCAGTGTGATGTTTTGCTTGTTTGTTTTTACAAAACYCTACTTGTGACCCATTCGTGTAAAGGCACTGTGGTATCAAAGCAAATGTAATGTTACATTAAATAAACTCATGTTGGTTAACAATGTTAACATTTAAAAAAAAAGAAATATCTATCAAAACCGATTACCTGCTTTTAAGCAAGATGTAAATCCCACCAGGCAGGGAGAGGAGACAGAGGACATCAGAAGAATGTGAATAACTACATTTGTGTAGTTTATGTCACTTGAGTGTGATACCGCTTGTAGGCTCAGGTAAAGAGAATCAATTCAGAGCTAAAACAAATCATCTTTTGCGTCACAGTTTAAATAGATATTATCCAAACTCTGAAAGTCTCTCGGCCTCAACATTGACATTTTATATGCTCTCAGATGATAAAACAATGCTAAAATTAACTGGAAGTCATTTCTCCGGAGGGCACCCTCAGCTTGATGATGGTTCAGTTTGTTAGTATTGTAGTGCCAAAGCACAGAGATCACTTACCGCAGTGCACATGGTGTAGCCCGCACCAAAGTCAAAACGACACTGTTCATTCATGGAATAATGCAGACCAGGAAGTTGAGGCAACGACGGCCAGTTGTGGTCGAAAGGGTCATCCCGAAGGCAATCATATGAACTGCAACAAAAGTCACATTTTCTTCATATTTTTATTTATTTTATGTTATTTTTWAAAAAATTAGTCCTACTAAAGTCTGGAAAAAATATAATTATAGTCATTTTTGTGTTTGCGAAAGTTAATTGGTGGTGGCAGTCATCTTGAACTGAGGTGAATCCAACAGCTAATGATTACTTTCTGTGGCCTACAATAATATATATTCAGAGGTGGGTGAAATGTTTTGCTAACAGACAATAGCCAAATCAATTCTAAAATATAATATCAGAATTTTAAACAAAAATCTTAAAGGCACAGTGTGTAGGATTTGTTGTTTTCAGCGACATCTAGTGGTTGAATCATCCTCGCTGGTCCTCCCCCCCCCCCCACGCCCGCTTCCAAACGATAATGGGTTGCTACGGTGTCTCTCAGGTGTCAAAAACCTTTGATAATTCCAACCATGATATCTACCAGCAGCTTCYGGGCTAGTGATGTTTCAAGTGGTAAGATTATGAGCTTTAATAAGTAAAATTATCCCAGCTACAATGACAGACAACAAATATTACATTTATAGTATTACAACTAAAACCGTTTTTGACGCCACCACCGCAGTTTGTCCTTCATGAGCCTTCGTAGACAAGATGGTGGTGCAAGATGGCGGCTGCCTGTAGTGGTGACCCGTGACCATGGAGATACAAACAGCTTGCAATGATTAGACATGTTTTTTATTATTGTCATTAGTGATTATCTCAATTTCGGCTAAAAGACTTGTCAAAATCCCACACACTGTGCCTTTAAGCAAGTTTGTTAGTACTCAAGGTTTGTGTTAGGGGTGACTCTCAACTATTATACCCAGTTTATTTGCTCAATATCTARAAAATGGACTGAGTTAAAGATATTCTTATTTGCAGCCATCTTGAACTGGTTTGAGTCTAGAAAGTTTACAGTTACAAATGTGAATTCAAAACAATCTGCCCATTTTTCCTCACAAACACACACACTTACACATACACACACATGCACATCCACGGTGAGAGGCAATGTTAAATGCAGATGAATCAATCTCTAATTATGCCATTATAAATTCATTTCGTTGGGATGTAAAAGACGAAGTTACTGAAATAACCATTTTTTAAAATTACAACTAAGCTAATATGCATAAACAAATTTCACACACAAAAATTTGCAACAGGTATATTTAAAACACTAAAGTTAGGCTGGCCTTTAAAAGTCCATGCAATGAAATTTGGCTTTCCACGAGTATGTGTCTGTGTGTGTCTCACTGAAGGTAACGTCCCAGCTCCTGCATGCTACATTTGGACCACTGAAAACGATGAAAGGCAGCTTGCACCAGTGGAGCCATGATGCTGCCCATGTGCACCTCGTCTCCGCAGCGGTTTCCCTGACCGTCATGCTCCATCCCCAGCCTACGCAGGATGCGAGAGGAAGAGAAGAGGGGTGAAACAAGGGTAACATGTGGGAGGGGAAAAGCAAGAAGCAGATGAAAAAAAGTAGCAACATTTCACTTGTCAGATCATTGACCACTGCATCAAAACCAGAAAAAAATTGCTGTGGTCGTTTAGGAGACCAACTTATTTAATTTTTTTTCTGTAGCCTGCATACAACACATTTCTGTTGCCACTTACACATGTCCCGTTTCATGTGCCACCACAAAGGCAGAAGAGAAACCATCCTCATGGTTTAACGTGCAACTCCTCACAGGATGGCACATCCCCGTCACGGGAGCATAACCTTGGAAACCAGAAAGACAGGGGCAATGTCAAACAGTCCTTTAAAACAAAAAATAAAACTTTGAACTGATAATAAACACATTTCCCATTCACTATGTGTAGTAAATTGTGTCTGTGTTAGCTTAAACTGAGTTTTCTTTATATGAAACAAAGGCACAAACAAAAAATGAATGTGTGCCATAACTTCATGAAATTAAAAACCTAGAATTCTTTAAAGGGCTGCATACTGTACCATCTGCTGCCTTTCATGTTAGAGTTTTAAACTAAGACTGTATTATYTTGAGAAAGTTAGACATTAGGGTTGATCTCGCAACACATTGGGAGATTTTGAGTGGCCTGCCAGAGCTCATAGTGTGAATTATAAATGACTCTCGGACACGAACACACTCAATTTTGGCACAATATTCGTAAAATTGACTCCAAAAGTTAGTTAGTTTTAGTTGTATATACAATGATTAATTTCTATACAATGTGGTAAACTCTGTCCATGAGATATTTTGCTAACAGTCAAAGTTGATTCCAACAGTTATGTTAATGAATAAAGGATTGGGCAAATACAGTATGTGCTACCACATCAAATTGTAGCCCTTGTGCAACTGACTGAGTTATAGCCATTTTTATGTTAGCCAATACTTTTTTAGATGTGGCAGCCATGTTGAACTGGAGTGACTCTGAAAGTCAAAACGAACATCCAACAATGGCTCTTGGAAAGTTTTATTGAAATCCATCCTGTGGCTAATGTGGTATTCTGCTAATACCAAACACAAACATATACATATGAATAAACCCCAATTCAAATGAAGTTGAGAACTTGTGTAAAACTTGAATAAAAACAGAATTTGATGATTTTTAAATCCTTTTCAACATATATTCAATTGAATACACTGCAAAGACAAGATATTTAATTTTCAAAAAGATAATCTGTATTGTTTTTATGCAAAAAAAAAAAGAAAAAAAAAGAAAAACTGGGACAAGGGCAACAAAAGACTGGGAAAGTTGAGGAATGCTCAAGAAACACCTGCCTGGAGCATTCCACAGGCAAACAGGTTAATTGGAAACAAACAGGTATAAATGGGGTATAAAGACAGCATCCAGGCTCAGGCATTCACAAAAAGGATGGGGTGAGGTTCACCACTTTGTGAACAACAGCGTGAGAAAATAGTCCAAAAGTTTAAGGACAACATTCCTCAATATACAATTGCAAGGAATCGTCTACAYTCCATAATATCCTCAAAAAATTCACAGAATCTGGAGAAGTCTCTGCAAGTAAGCAGCAAGGCCGAAAACCAACATTGAAAACCTTTGATTCTTAAGGCGACACTGTATTAAAAACCAACATCATTCGTAGAAAAAGAGTACAGGTACTAGACTGGCCTGCCTGCAGTTCAGATCTGTCTCCCATTGAAAACATGTGGCGRAATCTGAAGCACAAATACAACATTGAAGACCTCTGACAACTGAACAACTAAAGTTGTACATCAAGCAAGAATGGGAAAGAATTCCACCTACAAAGCTTCAACAAATTGTGTCCTCAGTTCCCAATCCCTTATTAAGTGTTGTTTGAAGGAAAGATGATGTAACACAGTGGTAAACATGACCCTGTCACAGATTTTTTACAACGTGCTCCAGGAATCCACTTCAAAATGAGTGAATATGTGCAAAAGGACAACATCCCAATTTCATTGGAACTGGGTTTGTAAAATAGGCAAAAACATTTTTGCTAGCCTTTCACCTTTTGGTGTTGGGTGATAAAACCCAGCTTGCATTTAAGTGTCTAATCTTAACCCTGAACCTTTAGCTTCCACCCAGACATATGCTCGTCTTCAGCCCCCTGTGTGCCTGTTTGTCCTGTACTGCCTTTAATTGTGGAGTTGTGGCTGGCCCTTCTCTGTACATTGATTTTCTGATGCTGCACCCAAGGGCAGCTGAAGGGCTTCTGGGTAGCTAGGCCACTGGCTTTAGAGGCCCGTCCCTTGGGCCTGACTGTTAGCCTGTACTCCGCTGCACAGAAAACCCTTAACCGCTGAAGCCACAGTCAGCGTGCAGCTCTGTATATGAGGCAAAATACAAGACCTGCTGTATTTTACAGTATGTTAATCAGACTAAATATGTGTATGTCCTTCAATACCCTGCATGCCAGTGGGGCCAAATTCCTGCCGTGTGAGGAAAATGGCATGATCGTGATACTCTGCATCCCCGGTGTCTTGCTTCTGCTGCAGATAGGCCCAGCGGCACACGTTCTCCAGACTCTGAGATGGGTTCCCAAGTTCAATGAGGCTCGTGGACTGAAGCAGGAACCAACACAAAGAGAGAAAGGAAGAACACAGTGTGAAGATAATTGAAAAACAAGAATGTTTTCATTTCAGTTTTGGTACAGTTCTTTAGCCATTCCAGTAGGGGGCAGTGTCACAGTGTTTTTTTTTCTTTAATGTCAGCACATCTTGCAAACTGCTGAGACATATATTGCTCTAAACCCTAGACAAAAATAACACAGTTTTAAAGAGATGATAGGCATAATAATAAGCCATGAACTGATGATTTTCATACTGAACATGAATTAGTGAAGCATYCACTAATCACCAAAATACATCCAAATACTAAATATCTGCATATAATTGATGCATGACACCTATTCAAGTACTCAGACTTTTATGTTCCACCTAATTAGGCTCTCTTCTTAACTCTCCTTGCCTCCTTGGTCAAATACTGCCGAATGAGTCTCTTCATTTTTCTTTCATTACTTCCTGTCTTTGCCACTATTTCTATTTTAGATTTATACTCTGCTTTCACACGTGCACAAAGTAGATTTATGGTAGTCCGAGTGAGACATATGGCCTGCCTCTGCAAATGATGATGGAGTGTAACTTGTGTACTCTGAGCAGACCATAATCAGACAGGGTGGACTGTAGAAGTCTCATTTCCCAGGTTCGTCAGTTTTCTCGGGCATATGTTTAACAGCAATTTTTAAATGATCTTTAAAGTGCGTTCGGAGCGCTGTGTTGCGTTGGATTGTGTGAGTAAAGTGTGGACGTATMAGTGTGCCTGCATTCAGGGTCACATAGTCAATCTGCAGGCTGTCTGGGTGCAGCTCCGTTGCTACGGTAATTGGGAATGATGGACAGCCAAAGCTTTGGCTGAAGCTGCACAGGGGCTGGCCCAGAATGACCAATGCTGTGGTGTGTGTGTGTGTGTGTGTGTGTGTGTGTGTGTGTGTGTGTGTG